CCTAAACCCTAAACCCTAAACCCTAAACCCTAAACCCTAAACCCTAAATCCTAGACCCTAGACCCTCAACCCTTAACCCTAAACCCTAAACCCTGAACCCTGAACCCTGAACCCGACTACCCTAAAGCAAGACGCAAAGTTGCGCGCGGGACAGACACCCTGAGGTTTGAGCCTCGAGCCCCTCTGATCCGGTTGGGCTCAGGTAAACCCGAAACCCTAGGTTCCAAACCCCAAACCCCAAACCCTAAGCCCCAATCCCCAAACCCCTAACCCCTAAACCCTGCAACAATGCATCCAAGGGTTACACCAGTGCTTCCAGCTCTTCGAACCTCGAACCCCAAACCCCAAACCCCAAACCCCAAACCCCAAACCCCAAACCCCAAACCCCAAACCCCAAACCCCAAACCCCAAACCCCAAACCCCAAACCCCAAACCCCAAACCCCAAACCCCAAACCCCAAACCCCAAACCCCAAACCCCAGCTAAAGCTCACATCCCCTTCGAACAGGCATCTCTTATTGTCTATCAAAAGGTTGTCCCTATGCTCGCATATGCGGCAATGGTTGTACGACCTACGCAAAGGCAATTTGCGAAGATCCGTGGCGTCATTTACAGAGCTTGTGGAAATAGACTTTGCGCCACTCAACTTGCACAAGCTCTGTTTCTGCAAAAAAACTCATGTCTTTGAACCCGAAGCTGCGCTTCTCTACCAAAGCCTCTGCGGATGGAGACGTGCATATCAACAGTTGGACGTTAGAGCGCTTCTTGTTCATGATTTTCCCACTTCTTCTTCTAGGAAAATCCTTAATAAGGGCCCTGTCTCTCTGCTGCAACAGGATCTAAGCTGGCTTGGCTGCAGCTTTGATCCGAACACTGGTGTCATCACTCAGATTAATACGGATCTTTCGATTAATCTTAATGATGCCTCCAAGGGTTCCTTTCAGCACGGTCTAAGGGAGATGATTAGGCATAAACTTCTTCACAATCTGCAGAAAAAACATCCGCGTTGGTGCGGCGTTGACAAAGCAGATGTTGCGCGCACCTCAGCCCTTGTACGCAAAATGGCCCCAACGCAATATGGACGCACTGCTCTCATGCGTGTTCTTAGTAACGCGCATGCCACGCCGCATCATTTGTGGAGACAGGGTGTCTTGGCCACACCTGCGTGTCCATATTGCTCGTGCGAAGATGCAGACATCCATCATTATATTTACTCTTGCCCTCGTTTTTTGTTCCTTCGGCAAGAATGGCCTGAATTTATCTTGACTACGTATAATGCGTGGCCTGCGTGCGCGCAGCATTGTATGATTGCCACAAAGGATCTCCCTAGGGAAATTCTTCAGAAGTGGTCCCAAGTGCAGACCGCTGTCGCACACCTTCTTGAAACATGGATGTCCTTCCAACGCAATCCGCATGACACTCTCAGGATCACTGACGTTTCCCACTTGGTTGATTGCGCTAGACAGATTCCTCTCCCCACTGTGGGTGAATGTGTTCTCACACAAGCATCCTGCACGGTGATGCCTGAAAAGAGATTAAATCTTCAGTGGGCTAAGCCTGTCTCCCGCTCTGCCTTCACTGAGTGGGGCGGGGAAGACAATGACTATCACCTTTTCTTTTCCTTTTGGACTAAATGGACAATTGAAGATTTTGTGGGAAAAACCCCTTTCACCACTTGGATGGAGGTTTTTCTTGTTTTCCTGCAGTATGGTGGCAGGCACGCCCCATTCCTCGCTCAGTGCGATACCGTTGGGAAAGCCTTGTGGAAATTCCGCAACCTTTCTGAAAAACTCATTCATGAGGCATGGTATGAAGAAGTGGAAGCCCCGAAGTTTCCTGATGACTCTGCCGATATTATGTGGTTCCGAAGGCTTCCGTCGGCTAAACCTTTCTGGGCTTCTTTTGGCCTTCCTCTGAAGCGCGATTTGCGACATGTCTGTGAACAGCTTGCTGCCAAGCAAACGGCCATCGCGGCTGAACGCAATACTGCATTTAGGTACCATCTCTACTCAACTGCTGAGCTTCTTGCGGTTGTCACGCAAAACATTAATATCCTACAAGCTGAGTCTCTCAGTAAAAGATGGATTCCTGCTTCTCGACGCAAAAGAAACCTGCTCCGATGGGAGCAGCAGGCTTTTGAACTTTCCTCCTGCAAGACTGTTACTTGTGCCTCGGCGATCCCCTTGGAGACTTGGCACTCCATGACCGCTGCTAGCATCAGACAAAAGCTTCTTCCACCATTTCACGCTAGAGCTCGTTTTATCTCTTTTCGCAAACAGTTCGAGCTTTATCGCGCCAACATTTCTGAAAGATTGCACCTGCAGGATGTGCGGCCTTATGACTCTCCGCACATTTGTAGCCCTCTGTGGCTCCGGCGTCATCGCTGCTACTTTTGTGCTCTCAAATTTGATTTCTCTTCTAAGTCCGAACGTTTTCTTAGACGTTGCCCTGACAAAAACTTGCTTGATTCGCAGCTGGCCCAGCATTGGCTGGATCAAATCACTGCTGCTCTCACAATGCTTGATAGCATAATTTCCAGATTGGCCAGAAATGATGATGCGGTTTGACCCGCACTTACCTGCCAAAACTAACAGTATCACCTGACGCACATTCCTGCGCAAGTAGCATTCTTGAGAGTGTACAAACCACTCCTGTTTCACTTTCGACGTAACAGACTTCGGTCCGATTCAACCCCAAACCCCAAACCCCAAACCCCAAACCCCAAACCCCAAACCCCAAACCCCAAACCCCAAACCCCAAGCCCCAAGCCCCAAGCCCCAAGCCCCAAGCCCCAAGCCCCAAGCCCCAAGCCCCAAGCCCCAAACCCCACACCCCAAACCCAAAACCTAAACCCGAAACCCTAAACCCTAAACCCCTGAAAAAGTGCTTCCAGCTCAGGATCGGCAACTTCCGTCTGGGGGACGCCGACGGCCACCACTTCAGCATCTCGCATGAGTGCCTTGGCTTAGGGTTTAGGGTTTGGGTTTGGGGTTTGGGGTTTGGGGTTTGGGGTTTGGGGTTTGGGGTTTGGGGTTTAGGGTTTAGGGTTTAGGGTTTAGGGTTTAGGGTTTAGGGTTTAGGGTTTATTGCCCAGTAACATGGCGACCTTGCCCAGTAAAGACGGCGACCTTGCCCAGTAAAACGGCGAGCTTGCCCAGTAAAACGGCGACCTTGCCCAGTAACTCCCCAACATTTAAATTTATATGCAAGAGAGGTTTAGGGTTTAGGGTTTAGGGTTTAGGGTTAGCTCCCTCCTCTTCGGGGTTCTTTCGGGTGCTTGGGGGTTTTAGGGTTAGGGTTTAGGGTTTGGGGTTTGGGGTTTGCAGGTGCTTGGGGGTTTATAGTTCCCCCCCCCCCATTGTTAGCATAGGGGGGAACATTCCAAGTTTGGGGTTGAGGACTTGGGGTTTAGGGCTTGGGGTTTTGGGGCTGTGTTAAAGGGTTGTCCTGTTGTTGTCTCAGGGTTTTGAAGGGTGCGTCCGCTTCTCATTCTTGCGGCCCTAAACCCTACAACCTAGTTCCTAATTAAGCCCTAAACCCCAAACCCTACACCCTAAGCCCTAAACCCTAAAACCCAAGCCCTTCGCTTTAAGGTGGGCAAGGGCCCTTTCGGTGTTTTGCAGGGTTTGGCTTTAAAACCCTAACCTTCAACCCTAAGCGCTAATTCCTACACCCTCAATTCCATGTTGCTGAGGTTGTTGTGGTTGTTGCCACTCACGGTTCAGAGTCTCGTTGAGGGGCTCGTAGACCAAGAAGACCTATTTTTTATTTTTCTGTGTCTGTCGAGGGAAGCTAACTAGCTTGAAGGTATATCCTAAACCCTAAACCTATCATTTTCCTGGGTTTAAGTGAATCATATCTCGGAGTGTTTCTAGAGGGCTGCAAGGGCCAAGGACTTACTCGCCTCTATGGGAATGGCCTTCCATAGGCAAATGTCACCCATAAGCCCTAGATTCCTATGCCCCGACCTCTTAGACCCCAAAGCCTTGAGCCCTTCACCAAGCTCACAAACCCAAATGCCCACACAAACTTATCAGGGTCAAGGCTTGGTCAAGGCACAAAAATCTCACTTCAGTACGGCCTGAGAGTCATCTTGAAGTAGGGGACAGACATGGTCATCCCCGGTCCGCCCCAAATCGGCGTACCCAGGGGGCATTCGATGAGGGTTCCCTTTACACGTGAAGCTGAGATCAGCCCCCCCCCCCCCCCCCCTCTGCAACCACTACATATGTAAATTTCTAGACACATAGCACACATATAGGGAATATCATGGGGGGGTACTATAATCCCCATTAAGGACTGCTAGTATAAGGAGAAGCTCTCTTTTGACTTAGCATGTCTTCTTAGTATCCCCTAGAAACCCTCTTAGAATCCTCATACCCCGCCTCACTAACCCGCCTCACTGTCCCTACTTACTACGTCAAAAGGGCTTCCAGGCGTGGAATCCATATATGTATATATGCATACATGTATGAAACATATACGCGTTCACGTCTTTACATGTGCACTGTTTACATGTCTGCATATATCATAATTTTGTACTTCACAGGTGTTAGCATGTATTTATACGCAAGGGTGTATACGTGTACACATGTGTTTTCTTTGCCCTGGAGCAAGCGCTGCCGTCGCCCGCCAAGGAATGGAGTCACCATCCAGATTTTCCGCAGCGACGGTGCTTGGGCCTTATGTTGGTCAATCATGGAGGTTGGGATTAGGTGTTTGTTGGGCTTAGGAGGCTGTCGGGGCTTCGAGGCGTTCAAGGGGTCGTTCTGGGGGTTTAGGGTTTTGGGGTGCTTTCAGTGTTCAGTTTGGGTGGTGCTAACCCCGTCCTAACCCGTGCAACCATCTTTCCACAAAACGTGGGTCCTGCGGCAAGAACACTGTGGGCCCGCAATGGAGCTTTTCGTGGGGATCTGCAACTCGTCCCCTAAACCCTAAACCCTAAACCCTAAACCCAGAGCCCCAAAACCGTGGATTTTTTTCCGTTGCCAGCCCCTGCAGGCACCCTCCACCCTGGCCCTCGCCACGAGCTCAACCTCTGGACGCGCACAGCCGGCCCTGCTCAGGCCGAGGTTTAGAGGGTTCAGGGTTTATTTAGGGGGTAGTGGGGACAGTGGCATGAGGGTTTGGCTTGAAGGCTCCAGGTCAGTCTTTTGGGCTCTAGGGCTGGGACGGCTGTGTGTGTGTGTGTTTTCTGTTTTTTTTTTTTTTCGGGGGGGGGGGGGGGGGGGGGAGTGTTTAAGGGGGGTGTTGAGGAGTCATCTGGTTCAGGCTTTCGGGTTCTGGGTTTGGGAGTTCAGGGTCTAGGGTTTAGGGGTTTAGGGTTTAGGGGTTTCAAACCCCAACTTTTTGGTTCCGCAGCCCTTTCGGAGGGCCGCCTTCTTCACATGGCAGATCCTTAGAATATTTTCTGCTTGCCCGCTATTGTTTGGGATGTTGCCCCCTTATACTAGGGTTTAGGGTTTAGGGTTTTGGGTTTGGGGTTTAGGGCTTAGGGTTTAGTAGGGTTTCGGGTTTCGGGATGTTCCCCCTTATACTAAAAGTCCTTAATATATATATATTAAAGTACACCCTATGAAAATCCCGATTCAGGACTGTTCGTATAACGGGGGAACATCCCAACCTATTGTGTTTAAGAGGGTCATATTTCTCAGAGCGTTTTAACGGGCCAAGCTAGTTGGTGAGGGCATTCGGGCAGAAGCCCCCCCCCCCCCATCTCTTCCTTTCCTGTGTGAGGGATTGGGGTTTACGATGGCTTCAAGGGCTTTAAGGGGATTTTGGGCGGGGGCTTAAGGGATCTTCGGGGGTTCCATAGAGGCCTCGCGGGACAACGGAGGCAGACCTGCAATCTTGAAACTTCCAAGTCGGCGTCGAGTATTTGGTCAACATCGCGGTGGTGACTGTCGCGTGCGCATGGCTGCTGCAGAATCAGAATGCAGAAGGTTGAAAACACCACTTAGGGGCTTGCCACTGCCAGGTACCAGCGCCCTTTGCATGAATATATGCTACGTGTGGCATGTGGGCTGACGCTGAAGCATCATGCAGTCGTTTGCCAGTCATTTTGTTGCGCAGGCTCGGATAGGTTTTGCTCCGAAGCATGCAGCCTGAGCAAGCACAGCCTTTTGCCGATAATTTGCCTCGAGGCAGCAAAAACACATGGCGGGGTTCATGAGCTTCTGAGGGTCCATGTATCTACATAGGAATTGCTTGGGCCCTAAAGCTACTATGGGAACCCCTTTATAAGGCCCAAGTATATACTACATAGCACATGGACCCTGAGGGAGCTACGTCTGCAACACGCAGCGTGCCAGGGCATCTTCTTTGGGGACCGCTTCTTGGAAATCGGCCTCTGGCGCCTGGGGGATGTGCCTGGGAAGCATTTCCGACGTCACCCTAAGCCCTAAAACCAGGGCAGCTTTTGAGTTGGCTCTCTTCATATCGGGGCGTTAAAACGACAGCTTTTTTGATAGACGCCAAGAACACCTCAATTTGGCAAAGTTGGCTTAGAGTGCTTACAGAGAAGCCTCAGACGCCCCGTTTTCCCGTAGGTATTACTCTAGCAATCTTCTATAACTCGCATCTGGTTTTTGGGAGGAGGAGGTCGGAACCAAAAAAGGGCGCCCAGTTGCATGGTCCACCTTGCAAGCAGCCGAGTTCTTCAAGACAACGCAAGCCAAGGTAGATGGCAAGCACTTCGTCATCTCCCAGGCCAGGGTTGACGCACCCGCTCCTAGGGTTTAGGGTTTAGGGTTTGGGGTTTGGGGTTTGGGGTTTAGTGGGACGTTTGGGGGCTCAAGTTATGAAAGCTTCGGGATTTAGTAGGGCTTTGGTGGGATTTAGTAGGGGTTTATTAGGTCTTCGAGGTTTGGTGATGAAGGGTGTAGCTTCGAGGTTTTTCTCGTTTGGGCTTGACCCGAAATTCCCTCAGCCCACCCCTTTGTGGACCAAAATGAACCCGAAAAGGGTCTATGGTTCATGTGCCGTCATAGGAATCACAGTAGTATAGGGTATATGAGCCCAATTTTTCTTGAAACCCTGCAACCCCCAAAACCCACAAGACCCCGTAATCCCCAACCTCAACTTGCAAGAGCTCCAGCCCACGTTCGCCACGGAGCCCGAAACTGTTAAAACTCAACCGAGGATAGCTGGTTGTAGGGTTTAGGGTTTGGCCCCCCCCCCCCCCTTCCCCTTCCCCAAAATCTGGATTGGGGCTTTAGGTTGAGAAAGGTCCTTTTATAGAAGGCATGTCCTTATTGCTGGTACGGTTGCTGCGGGGCTGCCAAGTGAAAGGCGGTGCCACCGCCGGGTGAGCCGAGCCCCAAGCCGCAAACCAAGCCGGAAACATTTCTAAGCCCTGCCACCCCTGAGAAACCAAGGTGGACAAGACCCCACGCCGGTTCGGGTTTAGGGTTTAGGGTTTAGGGTTTAGGGTTTAGGGTTTAGGGTTTAGGGTTTAGGGTTTAGGGTTTAGGGTTTAGGGTTTAGGGTTTAGGGTTTAGGGTTTAGGGTTTAGGGTTTAGGGTTTAGGGTTTAGGGTTTAGGGTCTAGGGTTTAGGGTATTCGGGTATAGGGTTTAGGGTCCGCGCACGCAATCCCTTAGAATCCTCTCGACCCTAAGCCCGAAGCGCAGGTGGGAGGGCAGACGGCCCAAACCTACCGCAGCGACAACAGGCTGTTTCCGGGGCCAAACGGTCACTGGACAGGCGTGCTGGACAGGTGGGCTGGGGGTTGGTGGGGGTGGGGGTGGGGGGGTGGGGGGGCGTGGATTAGGTTTTTGGAGATGTGGGGTTTGGGGTCCAAGGGTTCGGGGGTTTCGTTTAGGTTTTTGGGGGTTTTGCATTGTGGGGCCTGATGGGTTTTGCGTGCCCTGAAACTGTTCTGAGGCACTTGGTGGTGTAGAGTCTTGGCTTGGGGATTGCAATTTTCAACCCCTAAACCCCGGAACGCCCGGTACCAGCCACTGAGCCCACTGATGCCCTATGCTCCAAGCCCACTTCTTTTTTCTCAAAGGGAGCTGACAATAGCATGTAGGAAATTCATCGGGTTTCCTTACTATGAGAACTTACATGCAGGTGAGGTCCTTCGCAAGGTTCCCCCCTGATCTCCTTTAACCCAAAACAGTGCACACCCTTTCCATAATTAGGTTGTCGGGCCCAATGTAGTTGCTTGTAGAACCCTAAACAACCCTAAACCCTAGGCCCCGAAACCCTGAACCCACCACAGCTGGTTTCTTAGGGTTACTTGAGTCCTCAGAGATGTGTAGGAAATCCCAGAGTCCTCCGAGGGTTTAGGGTTTAGGGTTTAGCCTAAACTCGAAGCATCCCTACCTGAAAGCTCACATGACACCCTGGTTCTTAGACCCAAGACCCTCAGCCCCAATTATAACCCCCGGTTATAAGTAGACGTATAGTTGGGGTTGTAAGTACCCATGAGGGGGTGGCCGAAATTAGGGGGTACCTTACGGGGTCCTTATGATGCGGGAATCGTACTATTTGGGGGTCTATATTAGGGGTCCCTAGTCTCGTAAACCACCCAAGAAACCTCCAAGTACGAGGTATGCCGAGTACCACTGCGGCTCCATCCACGCGGCCTTCGGCACTTGCACTGGCCTCGCCACCGGCGACCGCTTCATCCAGCCGCCCCACCTTGTTAGAGATGATGGGGGGGTTTGGGATTCAGGGTTTAGGGTTTGGGGTTTAGGTTTAGGGTTCAGGGGTTTAGGGTTTGGGGTTTAGGGTTTAGGGTTTCAGGGTTTAGGGTTTAGGGTCTGGGGTATACGTGGGTACCTGTTTTGTTTCCCCACCCTCAGTGTGGGGTTAGTCGGTCTTGACTCAGCTAGTCTCCACGCCCTGGTCTCATTGCCCGGCCCTCTGCAGCACATATCCCTACAGTGCCACGCAGGGATGGCCCCAGACCGTGGAGCAACAGAGTAATATAGGGGTTAGAATAATTTCTTATAATATTCCCTTAGGGTCCCTTTATACTTATTCTATAAAAAAATGTACTGTAGTTGTCCAGGCTCCTATAATCTTGAGTAGTTCTATAAGCTTGGGTCCCTTTTGCGGGGGTTTAGGGCTTAGGATTTAGGGTTTAGGGTTTAAGGTTTAGGGCTTCAGGTTTAGGGCTTAGGGTTCAGGGGCTATGCCGGACGATACAGGGACCCCCCCCCACCCCAAAAAGGGAACCGAACCTTCGGAGCCAATCCGCCCCAAGCAAAAAGCCTAAGAACCCTAAAACCCTTAACCCTAAAGACCCTACATACCCCCCCCACCCACCCCCCCCCCCCCCCCCCCCCCCCCCCCCCCCCCCCCCCCCCCAAAAAAAAAACAAAAAAAACACCCAAAAACTCAAGAAAGTCCTAAACCCCAACAATTTTCGAATAAACAGCCCTAAACCCCCAAAAGCCCTAAACCTCAAACCCCGAAACCCTAACCACCCTAAATGGTGCCAAGCGCTTCTCCGAGGTTGGGTGATTGGCGCCTCGCCGACATCGATGCTCGGCCTGCTTCGAGAGAGGTTTTGCATGGTTTCTTTGGGTTTAGGGTTTAGGGTTTGGGGTTTGGGGTTTGGGGTTTGGGGTTTGGAATTTAGGTTTTTTGTTTTTTTTGGGGGGGGGGGAGGGGGTGGGGGGGTGGGGGCACCAAAACACAATGAGGCACGAGCGCCCGAAAGCCTGCACCCTAACCCCTAAACCCCTAAACCCTAAACCCTAATTCCTAAACCCTGAACCCTACACCGAAACCAGTGGCTCAGGACGGGGACCACTTTTCCATCTCCTGCAAGACGGGGCAAACGTCGCAGGCCTCAGGGGTTTCGGGTTTAGGGTTTAGGGTTTGGGGTTTGGGGCTTGGGGTTTGGGGTTGGGTTTGAGGAGACATGGAACATGAGGCCTGAAGACCGCGTCAGGGTTGAGGGTTGAGGGTTTAGGGTTCTAGGGCTTTTGGGGCTGTTGGGGCTTAGTTTGTTTTGGGGTTTGCAGGGTTTTTGGTGCTTTAGGCGGCTTTTTTGTGGGGGTTTAAAGTTTGTTTGTTTGGCATTGAAACGGCGTACGGCAGGGTTTTTGGGGGCTTCGGGGTTTTGGGGGGGGGAGGGGGGGGCGTCGGGCTTCGTGCCAAGAGGATAGGGTTCTTGAGCGAGGGGGTTCACGGGGGTAGGTGCCTAGGGAGTATTGGGGAACCCTGCATTACCCTAAACCCTCTACCTTAAATCCTAAACCCTAAGCCCCCTTGAACCTCCCTCCCTTAAGAACCCTAAAACCTTGCGTTGCATACCCCACTAACCCCCCTCCCTCAAAAACTCTATGATGATTCCTCTGGTTGTCCAGCCCGCCCCGTGCAGGTGTTCCACCGCAGCGGCACAGTGTTGCTTGGCGCGCTGGTCAGCTGGCCCTAAACACCAAACCCTAAACCCTAAACCCTAAACCCTAAACCCTAAACCCTAAACCCTAAACCCTAAACCCTAAACCCTAAACCCTAAACCCTAAACCCAAAACCCTAAACCCAAACCCCTAAACCCTAAACCCTAAACCCTAAACCCTAAACCCTAAACCCTAAACCCTAAACCCTAAACCCTAAACCCTAAACCCTAAACCCTAAACCCCAAACCCTAAACCCTAAACCCTGAACCCTGAACCCTAAACCCTGAACCCTAAACCCTGAACCCTGAACCCTACGACCCATCTGAGGCTACCCGGGCCCCGCAGCGACTTCGGGGCCTGGAAGCGCGAGGCGTGCTGCTGGGGCACCTCTTGGGGTTCGGGGTTTGGGGTTTAGGGTTTAGGGTTTAGGGTTTAGGGCTAAGGTTTAGGGTTTTGGGGTGTAGGGTTTACCGTTGTGGGTTTAGGGTTTAGGGCTTAGGGTTTGGGGTTTAGGGTTTGGGGCTAGAGTTTAGGGTTTTGGGTTTAGGGTTTAGGGTTTAGTTGGGTTTAGGGTTTAGGGCTTAGGGTTTGGGGTTCAGGACTTTTGTGGGTTTAGCGGGTTGGGTCTAGGTTTACTGGGTTGAGGGTTTAGGGTGTATGGGGTTTGGGGGTGTAGGGTTTATGGGGTTTAGGGTATATGGGGCTTATGGGCTTTGGGGTATGTAGGGTTTTAGGGGTTTTAACGGTTTGGGGTTTATGGGCTTATAAAAACCTATAATTATTATGGACCCCGTAAGCCGCATAAGCCCTACAAGAACGCTGTAAACCCTCTGAGAGCCCTGTAAACCATAAACCCTAAACCCTAAACCCTAAACCCTAAACCCTAAACCCTAAACCCTAAACCCTAAACCCCAAACCCGAAACCCTAAACCCTAAACCCTAAACCCTGAACCCTGAACCCTAAACCCTGAACCCCGCAGACGCGTGGCCTGGAGTACCCCGGAGTGGCGCTGGGCGACCGCTTCCTTCAGCCCCTGGGGCTGAGGATTTAGGATTCAGGGGTTAGGGCTTAGGGTTGAGGGTGTATGTGTGGCTCTACTCACGTCAAGCTGCTGGGGGCTTTAGAGCAGTTGACCGCTAAACCCTAAACCTCAACCCTAAGCCCTAAACCCTAAACCCTAAACCCTAAACCGTGTTGCTAGGGTCAAGATCCAGTTCAAGGCCCACTCGGGGTTGCCTAGCCTTTCATCATTAGAGGATCTTGCTGAGCCAAAGCGTGCAACCCGCCCTTTGTCATTCGGTGGCCATTTAGGGTTTAGGGTTTAGGGTTTAGGGTTTAGGGTTTAGGGTTTAGGGTTTAGGGTTTAGGGTTTAGGGTTTAGGGTTTAGGGTTTAGGGTTTACAGACCACGTTGCATCTAGGAAGCTCCCTAAAGCACTAAAGCATGAGCCTAAGATGATCCGAGCGACGTTCCATAAAGGCCCAGCGGCCTCGCATGCTAAGACGCCCAAACTCCAATCCATCAACCACGCAGCCCCTAAAAAGCCCGTCCCCCCCCCCCCCCCCCCCCCCCCAACTTAAACCTTAGACCCTTAACCCGAATCCCCGTAACAACCCTAAGCCCTAAACCCTAAACCCTAAACCCTTTGAACCCCCCAACGCCTCCTTCTAACGGCCAGTTCTCTGACCAAGGTGGCCCTCAAAACCCTCAAACTGTCAAACCCTAACCTCCTAAAACCCTAAACCCTAAAACCTGGTAACTGGGGTTGTAAGGGGCCGTGTGTTTTGTGGCACTCGCCCAAACCGGGAAACCGCCAGGTCGAAACCTAGAGAACGCAAAAAAGAGCCAAAAAACAGCCCCGGACTCTTAGAGGCGCAGTCACCTAAAACCTAGAATACAAACGAAGCCTCAACCGTAAACACCAAGCCCCAAGTGTGCCACCAAAGGATCGGGCAATGGCGGCTGTGGGCTGAGGGTACCCAGCTGAGCTTGTCGCACCAGACCGGGGCGACAGAGCTTTGGGCGGCAAATTGGGGGAGGGGGGGGGTGGCTCCGGGGGAGGGGGGGGGTTCAGGTGGGTTCAGGGGTTTGAGGTTTAGGGTTTAGGGTTTAGGGGTCTTGGTGGTTTCTTTGCAGGGTTTTCGTTTTAGGGGGGTTTTGGGGAGGGGGAGGGGGTTGAGGGGGTTTAGGCTTGCTGCCAGCTGCAGCGGTAAGCGCAAGTTCCAACCCGGACCGTCAAGTCGCCAAACCCTGAACAAAAGCACCGAGAACAACCCTAAACCCTAAACCCTAAACCCTAAACCCTAAATTTAAGAGCCTCCGGCTCAAGCCGCCGACCCCGCTGGAGCATAGTTGAAAGGTTTAAACGCGCTCATTAGGTCACAGGATGCCAAAGTTGATTTACTTGAGGCTGTGTGAAACGTTGGGGGGGCGGGGTAGGGGGTAGGTGGGTTTTTTCCCAAAGGGGGGGGGGGGGGGGGGGTAGGGGGTAGGTGGGTTTTTTCCCAAAGGACCCCTATTCCTGTGCGAAACCGCCTATGGTCCGTGAGTTTATGCGGTGTGGGTGGCCTGACCCTCCATGGAAAAGCTGCCCGGGTACCCCCCCCTCCCCCCCCCCCGCCGCGTTTTGGAGGGAGGTTTTCACCTCCTTTTCCCATCCAACACGCCGCCAGGGTCGGCGGACCCTAAACCCTAAACCCTAAACCCTAAACCCTAAACCCTAAACCCTAAACCCTAAACCCCCAACCCTAAACCCTACACCCTAAACCCTCAGCCCCAAGTTTCAAGCGGCCCCCAATCCCAAGCCCTTGCGTGACGAGGTCAAGGTCTACCAGTCGGACGGCTCCAGCGCAGGATTCCCACCCCAAAAAGGGAGTTTGAGGGATTTAGTAGGGTTCTTGAGGGAGGGGGGTTCAAGGGGCGTTTGGGGTTGGGTTTGGGGTTTGGGGTTTGGGGCTTGGGGCTTGGGGTTTGGGGTTTGGGGTTTAGGGTTTAGGGTTTAGGGTTTAGGGTTTAGGGTTTAGGGTTTAGGGTTTAGGGGTACCTAGGGAACCTTAGGGAGCCCCAGGGAGTGCTGGGGAGTATTAGGGAACCTTGGGTTACATAAAACCCCTAAGAACCCCCCCTAAATTTAGGGTGTAGGGTGAGTTTAGGGTTTAGGGTTTAGGGTTTAGGGCTTAGGGCTTAGGGCTTGGGGCTTAGGGTTTGGGGCCCCTAAGAACCCTGCGGTTTGGGGTGTAGCGCTTCGTGTAGGGAGTATAGGGCTTGCAGTTCCATACTACCAAGCCCTAAACCCAATATACACCCTAAGCCCTGTCCACCTTAAAGCCCTAAACACCCTCAAACCCTCAGAAGAGGCTAAACCTCTCTATCATAATGAATTTAAACCCTAATTCAAAAGTGGGCAACGGTGACTTTGGGCCTCAAAAGTGGGCAATGGTGATTTTCCTTTTCAGTGTTCTTCAAGGTTTTTCAATGTTTTTCAGGATATTTCAGGGTTTTTAACCTTCAATTCTGATGGAGGGCCCCCGCGACCTTTTCACAGCTTAGTTTTGGTCAAGAGGGGTCGTATTTTTCAATTTTAAAGGCAAAATCGTCTTCGGAGATCCCCCTTGCCTCAAACTCCGACCCCCCCTTGAGAGGGAAAGTTTGCCGGACCCCAGGATCGGCCCGGGTGCCAGTTAAAAATGCGATTTTTTAGTACTGAAATCGACGGTTCTGGGTGGGCTCTCGATTTCTGGATTGTTGACCAAACCGAGCCTTCACCGGTTTCAGGATCCCTATCCCCCCGCCACAGGTTTGAAAGGATTTGAGAGGCTTGGGGCTGGTAGGGTTGAGAGTTAGATTTTAAGCCTATTGGGAATGTATTGAGTGAACTTTGTATTTTCTCAATGTTATGGGTTTCTTGGGTGGGTGGGTTTTTTTCCAACGCTTGACGAGCTGCTTGACTGGTGAATGCTCGGACTTGAGATGCTGAACCCTAAACCCTAAACCCTAAACCCTAAACCCTAAACCCTAAACCCTAAACCCTAAACCCTAAACCCTAAACCCTAAACCCTAAACCCTAAACCCTAAACCCTAAACCCTAAACTCTAAAACCTAAACCCTAAACCCTAAACCCTAAACCCTAAACCCTAAACCCTAAACCCTAAACCCTAAACCCTAAACCCTAAACCCTAAACCCTAAACTCAAACCCTGAAGAGGAAGCCTCCCCGCCGCCACCGCTGCGCTGGCGCGCTTGGCCACCGGCACGGGCATCGGCTTTGGCGACCGCTTCCTTCAGGTCGTTCGGGTTTAGGGTTCTTAGGGTTTAGGGTTCAGGGTTCAGGGTTTAGGGTTTGGGGTTTAGGGTTTAGGGTTTGGGGTTAGGGTTTGGGCGGGGTTGCGAAATCGGGGTCTCCACCTATGCACACCCGTGGTTTGGGGGTACGCCCTGTCATGAGGTGGGGCCGGCTAGACCTGGCCTGCAAACGCCGGAGCCTATGCCCGAAACCCCAATGCCCTGAGCCAACCCCCCAAACCCCCAAAACCCACCCTAAGACCCCGAAACCCGAAACCCTTCCCCCCCAAACAAAAAGTTCAAGAACATGATACCACCATCACCGCCATCCCCACCGCCACCGCCACCAGCACCACCATCACCCCCACCACCGCCACCACCACGACCACCACCACCACCACCACCGCCACCACCACGAGGAGGACGACGACGAAGACGCTGCTACCACTACTACTACTGTAGTAGTACTACTCCTCCTCCTCCTACTACTACTACTGCTACTACTACTACTGCTACTACTGCTACTACTACTACTACTACTACTACTACTACTACTACTACTACTACTACTACTACTACTACTACTACTACTACTAGGCGTCACGTTCTTAATTGATCGCAGGGGTTTTGTGGCGTGCAATTTTCGTGTTAAGAGACGAAAACCTCGGTATTTACAGTGTTTCCTGGCTTTGTCCGTTTACGGACACGAAAAATGGACGTGTAAAAAGTCCCGCAAACTACTTTCAACTACTTTAGGCGCAGGAGGAAAACATCGGTATTTACAGTGTTTTCGGGCTTCAAAAACGGTCAATTACAGGGCCTACTTTGCGCAGACGTGTTCTCAGAACAGAGGAAAAGACCGGTATTTACAGCGTTTCACGGGTTTTCTAAGATGTGGCCAAACTTGTCCTTAAACCCGAACGCCTCCAGCAAGCCGAACAGTCGTGCACCCTGAAATCCGAAACCCCGAAACCTGAAGCAAGCCCAAGAGTCGTGCACCCTTAAAATCTCAACCCCACAGCGTCAAGCACGTCCCAAGAAAAAACACAAAACATCTGGAGCCTGAAACCCCAAACCCCATGTGTACCCTGAATGACAAAGCAGTCCCACAGTGCACCCCCTTAAACCTTAAATCCATAGAAAAAGCCCAAAAGTCCTTTCACCTTACAGCCTCAACCCCAAACCCTTCCCTTAAACCCTCAACCCCAAATCCCAAAAAAGCCCAGAAGATCCCCAAACCCTCCACTGTGAATCCCAAACAGCCGAAAAGATCCCGAAACCCTCCACTGTGAGCCCAAAAGGTCTTACCCTTAAACCCTAAACCCCAAATCCCAAAAAACCTCAAAAGGTCTCTACCCTCAAGCCCCAAACCCTAAACTCTCCACTGTAAGCCCAAAATGTCTTGCCCTGAAACCCTAAACCCCAGATGCCAAAAAAACCAAAAGATCTGTAGGCTGAAACCTCAAACCCCATATTTCCACTGGAAGCCCAAAAGGTTCCCAAAAAAGCCCAAAAGATCTGTACCTGCAAACCCTAAACCCTCCACTGTGAGCCCAAAAGATCTTGCCCCTAAACCAACCAAAAAAACAGAGGAAAACAGTAGACAGCGTGGTCAAGCGTGCACAAAGCCCAGCACGACCCCCATGTGTGCACAAAGCACAGTAATTACCCCCCCACCCCCCCCCAAAAAAACCCCTCAGCATGGTCATGTGTGCACAAAGCACAGCACGTAATTACCCCCCCCCCACCCACCCCCCCCACCCCCCCCAACCCGTCAAACGCAGAAAAAACCAGAGAAAACGATAGAAAAAGTCAAAAAACAGCAGAAAACACCATGATCAGTTAAGAGCGTGTCACCTACTACTACTACTACTACTACTACTACTACTACTACTACTACTACTACTACTACTACTACTACTACTACTACTACTACTACTACTACTACTACTACTACTACTACTACTACTACTACTACTACTACTACACTACTACACTACTACTACTACTACTACTACTACTACTACTACTACTACTACTACTACTACTACTACTACTACTACTACTACTACTACTACTACTACTACTACTACCTACTACTACTACTACTACTACTACTACTACTACTACTACTACTACTACTACTACTACTACTACTACTACCACTCCTAACACGAGAAGCTCCAACTTCACCCTCGAGAAGGTGGGCCACTTCCGCCTCGGGGACGTCGACGGCACGCACTTCGCCATCTCCCACGACGGCGGCCTTTCCGAGGCGTTGATCTCATGCGGTTAGGGTTATTAGGGCTATCAGGATTATTAGGGTTATGAGGGTTACTAGGGATATTAGGAACATGAGGGCTTAGGCTTTAGGGTTTCTGGTTTGAACCCTCAGAGCCCCCAGACTGAAGTTGGCCCCTCAATTCTGAGAGGACCTAGGGCTAAGGCCTTGAAGGTTTAGTGCCCTCCGCAGCTCCCCAAGCAAACCTAGCAGATGTCTCGGCAGGTCCATCACAGAAGCTTGGCGGTGTTGAGAAAGTTGCAGGGCTTCCCAAGCCTCCTCAAGTGCAGGGTTTTGGGTTTTGGGGTTGAGGCGCAGCAGCGGCTCCTTGAGTAACTACCCGACCCAGCAGCAAGCAACCAGCACACACAGCGGCACCGTGCCCTCCGCCCTAAACCCCCACTTCGCCTGGCTATTTCCCCAAATTCGGGTACCCTTAATATACCCCCAAAATAGTACAATACTACAGGAAGCCCCAAGAAGGGTCCCCCTATTTTCCTAAACTGGAACCTCTCACTCTCCATGAGCCCAGGCGACGGGACGGTTCTCCCGCCAGGCTCCACCATGACCACCCTGGGCCGGCGCTTGGAGGAGTGCGAGCTCCTCTGAGCGCCTTTGATAAATAGGCGCCTTTTCCAAATGGGTTGCTGCTAAGGAACTTACCAGGGAAGCCATGCCTTTGTTTAGCCACGCATATATACTTATATACATATTGTACATGTATATATATATATATGCATATATATATATATATATGTGTGTGTGACGTTTTCTGTATATATATATATATATGTAATGTGTATATATGTATATCCAAAGTTCCTTAACAGCTACGGTTACCTCCTTCAGCGCGGCCCGTGTTGAAATCGGAGCCTCGCTGTGCTGCCCGTGTTGAGGCTCGGCTTGGACATGTTGACGGGGATTTAGGGCAATATATGGTTCGGGATTTGGGTTTTGGGATTTGGGGGTCAGGACTCAGACAAGGGTTCCCAGGGTTTGGAGTTGACCGGGCACGGGGTTTCGCTGAAACCCTCATTCGTGGGAAATGCGCTAAGCCGCTGAGCTCGAAGTATGAAACCGACAAACGCGCGCTGTCCACGAAGCTTTAGCTGGGCCAAGTTCAAGAGCCGAGCCCGCCCGACTAGGGTTGAAGAGCTGAGTGTTGAGTTCACAAAGTTTAGGGTTTAGCTAGGGGTTTGGGCCGTAGCTGAAGCCTCAAAACTCCCTCCAAGTTCCTTCTCCAGCCAGACAGACACTCACCCAACTCTCAACCCCCAATGCCTCAAAATTCAGCTCCACAGCTGCGGCAGCCCTTGCACCTCTGATGCCACGCCATGGCGTCTTCCACAGCGCCCTGCTTGTCGATTCCTTGGTCTGTAGATCGGCTACCCCCAAGACCGACGCAGGAGGTTCAGGGTTTGTTTAGGCTTCTGGGGGGTTTGTGTTCGCATGCTACTGCTCTTGAAGCTTCAAGCTAGGGATTCGGCGCCGCCCTCGAAAAGACCCCAAAATAGCAGGATTCCCTCATAATGCGGACCCCGCTAAGGTACCCCTAATTTCACATCTGTCATTGGTTTCGAGCTGTCTTGGAAGCCCAGCTCGGTTCCCGCCGTTCCGGGTACGCCCAGCAACAAGGGGACAATGTTCCATTTGGGGTTTAGGGTTTAGGGTTTAGGGTTTAGGGTTTAGGGTTTGGGGTTTTGGGAGTCAGGGGTGTTTGTCGGGGTCTTAACCCCTAAGCCGTGCACCCCAAGCCTTAAGCTGAAGCTACTATTTGCTCTGAAGAACCCCCAAGAAACACAAGTGAAGATCCCTTGCTTGCCCTTATAAGGAGGATTGTTTCTTGTTTTTTTTGGGGAGTTCAAGCAGTTCGTAGTAAACGAAGACCAGCATCGAGTTTTTCTCAGGTGGCTTCGTTCGCCGGATCGTGCGCGGAGAAGCAGGTGGACGCACCGATGAGTGATCGATTGGTAGGATTTAGGGTTTGGGTTTTAGGGTTTAGGGTTTAGGGTTTAGGGTTTAATGTTAGGGTCCCTTTAATAAACCCCCCCCCCCCCCCCCCAAATCTTGTTTTGGTCCCCGGGGTTTGGAGGGGTGGAAAAAAAGACGGGGTGCCAATAATGAATTCTGGGGGTCTGGGGTCTGGGGGTCTGGGGGGGGGTCATCTGTCAGAGCAGACCCAGCAGACCAGTCTGGAGGCAGCTTAGCTTCTCTGTGTGCTTCTTGCTTGAGAGATGAAGCTCAATCTGTTGAAGAGGTTCTAGGTAAGGAAACCCTGCTCTCAGATCTCTGGCGGTTTCCTGAATTCCAGGATCCGAAGGCTGAAGTCTTAAGCTTCAGGGGTTCTTGTCTTGAGACTTAGACCAGGGCCCGAAGGCTGAAGTCTTAATCTTAAGGGACTCCTGTCTTGAGACTTAATTACAGGAAGCCATTTAAACTTAAGGCTTCTTGGTTCCCCCCCCTCCCTCGCCGAATTTATTATTGCCACCCTTTATTATTGTCATTTTGGAGGCCCGTAAGGGGGTACCCTTGCCGGACTTGTTTTCGAGCTCCGGCGGATAAGGATTTTAGTAAGGAAACCTAGCTTTCAGACCTTTGCCGGTTTCCTGAATTCCAGGACCCGAAGGCTGAAGTCTTAAGCGAGACTTAGACCAGGACACGAAGGCTGAAGTCTTAAGCTTCAGGGAGCAGCCCTGAAACAGCAGTTTCTCGCAGCTCTGGAGCTGCAGCCGTAAGTCTTTCACGGCTTCTGTGCTGCTCTGAGAGCAGGGGCCTCCGTAGCAAGGCTCTCTTTCGCAGCCTCTGGGAGCTGCAGCAACCTCAAAAGACACCTGATACCTGCTTTCTGCGAAGAAACAGCCCTGAAACAGCAGTTTCTCGCAGCTCTGGAGCTGCAGCCGTAAGTCTTGCCCGGCCTCCGTAGCAAGGCTCTCGTTCTCAGCCTCTGGGAGCTGCAGCAACCTCAAAAGGCACCTGATACCTGCTTTCTCTGAAGAAACAGCCCTGAAACAGCAGTTTCTCGCAGCTCTGGAGCTGCAGCAATCTCAGAAGACAAGCGCTCTCAAACGAGATCTGCTTCTCTAAAGACTGAGCCTCGGAGCTCTTTCAAGCCAGCTCAGCTGAAAAGTCTTCTCTGCAATGGAACTCTTAAGCGATTCTCAGTAAAATTTTCCATTCCAGGCCGGCAGAATTTTATAATTACCACCCTTTATTATTATCATCGCACACCCCAAAATAGACTTGTTTACATACATCGGCCCGAAAACCTCCCGTAATGGAAAGTAGTCTTCGGCTGGACCCCTCTGGCCCGGCGAATTTTAGTATTACCACCCCAATTAAAAATGGGATTCTAACATTAGGGTTTAGGGTTTAGGGTTTAGGGTTTAGGGTTTAGGGTTTAGGGTTTAGGGTTTAGGGTTTAGGGTTTAGGGTTTAGGGTTTAGGGTTTAGGGTTTAGGGTGTAGGGTGTAGGGTGTAGGGTGTAGGGTGTAGGGTTTAGGACGGTTGGTCGGCACCTAGGAAGGTTTTTTTTTCGGAGTGCTTTGTGAGCCCTTTGGGATTGAAAAGCCGCTTTATCCCTGGAGAGCGAGAACAGAAACAATAATAATCCAATGTTTAATGTGCCTTGAAAAAGAACGTAGGCAACGCATAAAGTTTAATGAGCTACACGGTTCAGTTTGGAATGGATCAGATTCGTCTGTCGCTCTCGTTTTTTTTTTTTTTGCTTTCGTTTCTGTTTGGTGAACTTAGTGCACAGATCACGCGCTCACTTCGTTCATTTGGATCTGTCTACATTAGTTCAGAGAAGCGAAGGGAGATGAAGACAGTACAGTTGCGCATAAGTTTACAGATGGCGTCTTTAGTCTTGGCTTTTCATCGTTAATTTGGTAATGTTAAAGTAGTTTAGTCGGCTAGTATACGCTCATAACGAACTGAGTTTGTACTAGTGATGTGTTCTTTCAATCTTATCTCTCGAAGGCGAAACCACATGATGCCACTTGTCTGTCTTCGGAGAGGAGCCCTGGCATGAGGCTCTTAGGTCTGCAGCCTAAAGGCTCTTAGGTCTGTAGCCTAAATAGAGGGTCTAGGATGCAGCTTTATTGCATGGGAAAGTTGGGGGAGTCTAAACCTTAGACCCTAAACCCTCAAAAGGCCAAGATGTCGGACTCCGAAGTCTTAAGAGCCAAGAAAAACACGAGGCAAAAAACAACAACCCAAAACCCTTAAGCCCTAAAGCCCTAAAGCCCTAAGAAACCCTAAACCCTAAACCCTAAACCCTAAACCCTAAACCCTAAACCCTAAACCCTAAACCCTAAACCCTAAACCCTAAACCCGAAACCCTAAACCCGAAACCCTTACGTCTCTAAGCCCTAAAGCCCTAAGCTCCTTTTGTGCAAAGCACCGAAGGGCAACGCAACTGCTGGGTAGCCTGGGGTTTTGCCCGAGACGCGTCAGGAAGATGACAACGCCAAGTTGCACCTTACCGGCCAGGCCAGGGGTTTAGGGTTTAGGGTTTAGGGTTTAGGTTTTAGGGTTTAGGGTTTAGGGTTTAGGGTTTAGGGCCAGGCGTCCAGGGGTTGGGCGGGCCCTAAATACAACCCCCCTCCCCAACCCAGAGGGGGGGGCGGGGGGTGTGGGTGGGTGGGTGGGTGGGTGGGTGAGTGGGTGGAGGGGGAGGAGGGCTTGCTGGCAGGGGCACAGCGGGCTTTGGAGAGGGGGGATTTGTAATTGTCAGGGCTGGGATGCTTAGCTGTTTATGCACCTTTTTCAAGTTTTACATGAGAGTTACCACGTATTGCAATAAACCCTAAACCCAACCCTAAACCCTAAACCCTCAACCCTAAACCCTAAACCCTAAACCCTAAACCCTAAACCCTAAACCCTAAACCCTAAGCCCTAACCCTAAACCGCCTAAACCCTAAACCCTAAACCCTAAACCCTAAACCCTAAACCCTAAACCCTAAACCCTAAACCCTAAACCCTAAACCCTAAACCCTAAACTCTTGGGAGCTTAGGGTTTTTGGGCTTAGGGCGTAGGACCACTGGGATGGCAAAAAATGGTACCAGCCCACACTCGCCCAGCTATAAGTCTTGCGTATTGGGAACACAGGCCTGCGAAAACCCACCTAAGCTTCAACGCCTGAAGCCCTCTTCAACCCCAAACGCTAAACCCTCTCTACCGTATATATATATATATATATATATATTTACCTTTATTGATTTTCAGAATAAGGCCGCTTTTTTCTTAGAATGATGCCAAAATCAGGCCGAAGGCTAATTGAATTTCAGAAAAAGGCCGCTTTAATTTCAGAATAAGGCCGCTTTATTTTCAGAATAAGGCGCTCATTTTCAGAGTAAGGCCACTCTGTTTTCAGAATAAGGCCGCTTTATTTTCGGAATAAGGCCGTTTTCAGGCTTGGGTCGCTTTATTTTCAGAATTTGGCCGTTTTTTGCTTTCTCAATGTTGTGGGGTTCTCTGGGTGGGTGGATGTTATATCAGAGCCGTAAATAAAACTTAACCGTAAAACTGCTCGACCCGGAGTGCTGAACCTAAACCCCAAACCTTAACCCGAAACCCTAAACCCTAAACCCTAAAGCCAAAACCCAAAACCCAAAACCCTAAACCCCAAACCCAAACCCTAAACCCTAAACCCTAAACCCTAAACCCTAAACCCTAAACCCTAAACCCTAAACCCTAAACCCTCAACCCTCAACCCTAAACCCTAAACCCTAAACCCCTAACCCTAAACCCTAGACCCTTCCTGCCAAAGGCCTCCTGCCCTTGCCTGGACTCTGCAGAGCAGCTGGCAGACGAAATGGCCCGTGCTCCCAGCTTCGAGTGTAGGGTTTAGGGTTTAGGGTTTAGGGTTTAGGGTTTAGGGTTCAGGGTTTAGGGTTTAGGGTTTAGGGTTTAGGGTTTTAGGGTTCAAACCCACTAGTTGCTTAAATCGCCAGCAGAACATGTAGCGGGACTGGGGGTTGCGAAGTGAGCGCCCTCAACGGGATACTACCCTCCCCTATAGGTTCCCCCCCTTAATATAATCATATATTAAACAACCTTAATTAGGCTTAATTATCCCTAAATAGGCTTAATTATCCTTAAACAGCTGAATTATGGGGGGGTAGTGTAGAAGGGGGTAGTATAAAAGGGGTACAGTGAGGGTTTAGGGTTAGCAGCTTGTAAACACCTGAAAATTCTACAGGCAGTAGGGCTTTCTCCAAGCCCCTATTCGCCACACGCACCCCATTAAACCCGGAACCCCAAACCCTAAACCCGCAGCCCCAAACCCCAAACCCCAAACCCCAAACCCCAAACCCCAAACCCCAAACCCCAAACCCCAAACCCTAAACCCTACACCCTAAACCCCAAACCCCAAACCCCAAACTCTAAACCTAAACCCCTAAAACCAAACCCCCAAACCCCAACCCTAAACCCTAAACCCCAAACCCTACACCCTAAACCCTAAAGCCCCAAGCCCCAAACCCCAAACCCCAAACCCTAAACCACAAACCCCAAACCCTGAAGCCCCAAGCCTTAAACCCTACACCCTAAACCCTAAACCCCAAACCCCAAACCCCAAACCCCAAACCCCAAACCCCAAACCCTAAACCCCAAACCCCAAATCCTAAAGCCCCAAGCCCCAAGCCCCAAACCCCAAACCTTAAACCCCAAACCCCAAACCCTAAACCCTTAACCCTGAACCCAAAAGCCGATGGAAACCCTCGCATGCTTTGGGAAGGTCAACACCCAGACCAATGAGAAGCCGGGCGGCAGCTTCGCGAGGGCCTCGAGACCCTAAACCCTAAACCCTAAACCCTAAACCCTAAACCCTAAACCCTAAACCCTAAACCCTAAACCCTAAACCCTAAACCCTAAACCCTAAACCTTAAACCCTTAACCCTTAACCCTTAACCCTTAACCCTAAACCCTAGAACCTACTCAGTCCTAAACCCTGAACTCCCAAGCCCTAGGTACCCTGAGCCCTAAGCCCCCGAAATCCGAAAGCTCCTGAAACCCTCCAAGAGCCCGAAACCCTAAACCCGAAACTGTCAGCCCCTCGGCATGACTAGCTTTGGGAACCCAAAAATGTTTGGGTTTAGGGTTAGGGTCTAGGGTCTAGGGTCTAGGGTCTAGGGTCTAGGGTCTAGGGTCTAGGGTCTAGGGTCTAGGGTCTAGGGTTTAGGGTTTAGGGTTTAGGGTTTATATAGGGTTTACTTTAGGGTTTAGGGTGTTGGGCCGAGAGGGCTTGGGGTCTTAAGGGTCTTAGGGCCAGTGAGGGCCTTAGTGTGAGCCTCTAGGGTCCTACGTGAACGGGTGCTACAACATTTGGGGGGGGGGGGAGTAGTCCTATTTTGGAAGGAGCCCTTGTAGATAAACTCTCCCACTACAGGCCCTGCGACCGGATACTGCTGCCCCTCATCGGACTTTCTGGGTCATCCCTAACCCTTGAACCCGAAACCCTTCCTTCCCCTTCTTTTTCTGACGCAGGGCCACGGCAGGCACGGCCTGAGGGGGTTTGAACTTGGGGGCTTTTTAGGGAGGTGTAGGGGAGGCCGGGGTTTCGGGATTTAGGGGTTCAGCTTAGGGCTGAAGGTGTTCGGGTTTGGGGTTTAGGGCTTTGGGAGGTTGGAGGTGGCTGAGGGTTCTTTAGGGCATTTAGGAGGTTCGGGGCTTGGGCTTGGGGTTGGATTTTGGTTGCTTGGGCGAGAGAATGGGGTTGAGAGCTTGAGGCTTTGGGGTTTAAGGCGCTAAGGGTTTGGGACAGAGGGCTCCCAGGCTTTTCAGGTTCAGGGCTCCCAACAAACAACAAGAAAAGAGTCTTCAAAGCACCCTAAACCCTAAACCCTAAACCCTAAACCCTAAACCCTAAACCCTAAACCCTAAACCCTAAACCCTAAACCCTAAACCCTAAACCCTAAACCCTAAACCCTAAACCCTAAACCCTAAACCCTAAACCCTAAACCCTAAACCCACAAGCTCTAAAGCCCAACCCAAGGACTCGAGCCCTCTAAAAGTTCCCGGTCCGAATCCCTTCACTCCCCCGATATCCAACCCTAAACCCTAACCCGGGAAAACCCTAAACCCTAACCCCGAACCCTGGACCCTAAACCACTTGAATCCCTAAAAACCCTAAGCCCTGCAAGTTTCAGTTTTGCCGGAAACAATTTCAACCAGAGCTTGGAGAACGTGGCCTTGCCTGGCAGCTTGCAGTCCCTGAGCTTCGGAAACAATTTCAACCAGAGCTCGGAGAACGCGGCGTTGCCTGGCAGCTTGCAGTCCTTGAGCTTCGGACGCAATAGCTTCGGACGCAATTTCAACCAGAGCTTGGAGAATGTGGCCTTCCCTGGCAGCTTGCAGTCCTTGAGCTTCGGAATGTTGTTCAACCAGAGCTTGGAGAACGTGGCCTTGAGCTTGCAGTCCTTGAGCTTCGGACACAATTTCAACCAGAGCTTGGAGAAAGTGGCCTGGCAGCTTGCAGTCCTTGAGCTTCGGACGCAATTTCAACCAGAGCTTGGCGAATGTGGCCTTGCCTGGCAGCTTGCAATCCTTGAGCTTCGGACGCAATTTCAACCAGAGCTTGGAGAATGTGGCTTTGCCTGGCAGCTTGCAGTCCTTGAGCTTCGGACACAATTTCAACCAGAGCTTGGAGAACGTGGCCTGGCAGCTTGCAGTCCTTGAGCTTCGGACGCAATTTCAACCAGAGCTTGGCGAATGTGGCCTTGCCTGGCAGCTTGCAATCCTTGAGCTTCGGACGCAATTTCAACCAGAGCTTGGAGAATGTGGCTTTGCCTGGCAGCTTGCAGTCCTTGAGCTTCGAACACAATTTCAACCAGAGCTTGGAGAACGTGGCCTGGCAGCTTGCAGTCCTTGAGCTTCGGACGCAATTTCAACCAGAGCTTGGCGAATGTGGCCTTGCCTGGCAGCTTGCAATCCTTGAGCTTCGGACGCAATTTCAACCAGAGCTTGGCGAATGTGGCCTTGCCTGGCAGCTTGCAATCCTTGAGCTTCGGACGCAATTGCAACCAGAGCTTGGAGAATGTGGCCTGGCAGCTTGCAGTCCTTGAGCTTCGAATATTCTTTCGACCAGAGCTTGGAGAATGTGGCTTTGCCTGGCAGCTTGCAGTTCGGAGGCCACTTCAACCAGAGCTTGGAGAATGTGGCCTTGCCTGGCAGCTTGCAGTCCTTGAGCTTCGGAGAGTCTTTCAACCAGAGCTTGGAGAATGTGGCTTTGCCTGACAGCTTGCAGTCCTTAAGCTTTGAAGCTTCTTTCAACCAGAGCTTGGAGAATGTGGCCTTCCCAAGTGGACTTGCATTCTTCGATGGGTTTGGGTTTATCTGTTGTTGTGCACGTGCCTGGTCAGAAGTATGGCAGCGGACTCTGAAGTCAAAACCAATCCGAATGCTTCCTTTTCAGAGGTCTTCTAAGTTAGCAAAAGGCATTTCCATTTTGGTAATAGTACCGCGCTACCCCACGACCCATACCCTGGAAAATCCATATTACCCATCATACATCCCCGATACCCTATGATAAACCAAAATGGAAATGCCATCTTGTAATGATTTGTAAGTAAGATAAGCCCAAATACCCAAACCATAGCAGCCTAACGCCACCCCACTCTGTGCCATTGCCCCCGAAATCCACCTGCCCAAGCACACCATTCCTTATATCCCAGGCTTGCGTAATCTAGACGAATTACGGGGACGACCTGGCCAACGCGGCGCTGACGAAGCTGACAAGGCCGGACTGTTCACAACTCCGGTTGTGGCACCCTGTCAATTACATTCATTCCTAGAGTTGCCCGCTCGTGTCGCCAGTAGAGTTGAAGGTAAAGCTGCCAGATTCCTCCAGTGGAAGTTCTCCGTCCTGCATTCCGCAGTGTCAAGGTTCACGTTGCAAAACCCCAAAACCCCAAAACCCCAAAACCCCAAAACCCCAAAAACCCCCAAAACCCCAAAACCCCAAAACCCCAAAACCCCAAAACCCCAAAACCCCAAAACCCCAAAACCCCAAAACCCCAAAACCCCAAAACCCCAAACCCCCAAAACCCCCCAACACCCCCAAACACCCCCAAACGTCCGATCTTGTGCCATTCTCCATCAATGTCAAACCTTGTGCTGGCAGAGGGCGAAGAGCTGAGCAGGCCCTTGCTTGACAGCAGCGGTGCGAAGCAATGGTGCCATGGGCAGAAGGGTACCTGTTTGGTGCTGGCTTTGGCAATGGTCCTTGCTTGCACTGTTTCTGTGGCGTTGGCGCAGCAGCCCTGGCTCAACTCAATGAAGGAGTTGGCCGTGCAAGAGCAGTCAAGTCTTGTCCGTGGAATTGAGGACATACCGAACTTGACAGACGCGAAGCCTTGGGTGAAGAAGAACTTCGAGGCCTGTATGGTTACATTCTGGGGGTGGGCGCCCATTTCGTCATATCTGTCAAAGATTGCAATCCACAACGAGGAAAAGCTTTGTGCCTGTGCAGCTATCGCTTCGAGCACATCGGATGCGGATTCAGAACGCCCTGAGGATGCGGATTTTCAGAACCGCTTAGACAAAGTTTTGGATTGTAGGTGGCTGATTCATGCGGACAATATTGCAGACACAGCCTGCTTTGCAGAAGCTTGTCCGAGCGCAGTCAAAGATGACTCCCATTGAGCCCCCCATGTCCACTTATTCTGTACATCAGTCAAAAATGTCGAGTTATTGACCTGCCGGTGTTTGGGGGAGCTTCCGTTTGCACAGACACAATTCCTCATATTAGAACCTGCCAGGCGTTCACCAACTCTCGCGTTGGCTCGTGGGAAAAGACATGCGCTAGACATTCATGTCCGCCTCCCTGCCATCCCATTGGTGTCTCTATCCAGTTCTCATACCATCTTTCACTGAATCACACATTGCAAATTGCAGCACAGTATGACCACCCAACGAACTCAACACCACACCGGCGCGAACTCAACCCCACACCGGTGTGATGTTGGCTTCCCCCGCGTAGTCTTGCGCCGCAATCAGGATGCCCATCCCTGCTTCTGCTGTCATGCGCCAGTGTGTGAGAGTCGCAGAAAGCACAAACCGAAAGTGCCTGAAACCACTCTCCTGCCCTTGGCAACCCGCCCTGCGTCAGGAGGGCCCTCTTCTTTCGTCTACCACGCCGAGCCCGACAAGCAGATCCAGTGCTACCACTACAAGTGCCTCAGGTGGTTCGGGTTATTAGGAATATTTTTCAAAAAACGTGTAAAACAAGCCCCAAATTTTGAAACATAACGGCTTCAAAACAATAAAGACGTTAAAACAGCAACGAAAACATTGGGGAAACCTATACACGAACAAGTAGAAAACAAAATAGTACAAAAATCAAATTTGACAACTCGGGTGTAGTAAACGTTAGGGGTTTAGGATGACCACCAACCATAACATTATAAGGTTAATAATGTTCTAACTGTTTTATGCTAGGGAAAACACATACTCTCCATAATTTCTTCTGTGGCTGTGTTATAATCATCTCTCCAACCAACCAGCCAAAAGTCAACACACTCACGTATTGTCTCTTTCACGATGATCTCTTTTCTGATAGTAGCGTTGCCAAACTTCATAACCGCATTTTTAATATTGTAGTATTGTAGTATTCTATTTCGCCCAAAACCCTTGTAGTGTCATGGAGGTTTGAAATAACTCCATACAACAAAGCCTCATGATTTACTCCAAAAAGTGTAAAGGTGTCCAAGACCACATTATCAGAAATATTCACAAACTGTTTCATCATTTGTCTTCGCGGGTTGTTTGACATGTTGATAATATTCTTGTATTTCCTTCTATCCATGTGTGTGTCAATGTCATGGCTATGAAAATACAAATGTACTAGTATTCTCTGTACTTTGTTTCCTTTTGACCAATAAGGGTGTTCATCAAAATCTTTCATTGTTTCTAGTTTTCTCACACACCGATCGCACTTAGAATAATCACACACCCTTTTGCATATATCGAATGGCATTTTGTTGGTCAATACCTCAATCTTTTGCATTTCTTCGCATTTCCAACAATTGTCAAATTTGAACATTTTCTTGTTAATATGAATAGGCGTTATTTCTTTAAAGCCTTTTTCCTAGAAAAACGGTCCTAAACTTTTATACAACCATAACATTATACAGTTAATAATGTTATAATTGGTTCAAATTAGAAACCAAACAAGGTTCTCAGGGGGTCATTTGCTTCATCCGTTAAGTCAGTATAAGGGTGGTTCATTAGCCTTCCAAGGATTTTTTCAAAGTCCCTGATTATTGTTTCTGCTTGAAAACCATTATCGTAGATATAATCCCAAATATTAATATCTTTTAAAAACATAAGGTTATTGTATATCCGGTTGAACAGTTCATATCTTCTTTTTTGCCAAATTCCTGAACAGACTGTTTTTAGCACAGTCATAACTGGGAAAATCATTTTTAACTGAGAAAATAAGTTTATCTACATGATAGCGATGTATTGTATTCCGTTTGATAATGTCCTCTAACATGTTTTCTTTTCCTTGGCGATCTTCGCATCTACATCTACGACACTGATAAGTAAAGCCGTAAATATTATTAATAAGATTTTCTGGCAATGACAATTCGAGATAACGATCGTGTTTTCTACAATCCTTGCATTTACATGTATCCCTGTTTTCCCTACTTTCCCTGATGCAGTCGCGAACCTTGATAACATCCAAGAAGTTATTCATTATTTCATCCTGTTCTTTCTTAGTTGACATTTTCCTGCTAATATACTAAGGCGCTATTTCTTTAAAGCCTTTTTCCTAGAAAAATCTGATCCTAAACTTTTAACAGTTCAAACCGTAAATACGGTCGCGTTTGTCCCTCCACATTATAATAGTTTTGTCCCACCTTCTTGTCAATTTTTTCAATGGTGTAAACATTTTGCGACCAGTTGCCCACACGCTCTTTTTCACTGGGTTTTCGCTTCCTGAATATCTTAACCTCATCTCCTTTATCATCCTCGGGATAAATCCCATTGCGCCGTGCCTTACTGCTGAGGTTCAGTTTTACCTTGAAAGCATTAGACTCTTTTCTGGCTTACTAAGCCCTTTGAAACCAAAAGGGCAACTCTTTTATTCCTAGGTTACTATTGGGTCTAGTGTCCCCTAAACCCTAAACCCTAACCCTAAACCCTGAACCCTAAACCCTAAACCCTAAACCCTACACCCTAGACCCCAAACCCTAAACCCTAAATCCCTAAACCCTAAACCCTGGTAAGTACCATGAACCTCCAAAGTCGTGAACCGAAAGCCCACATGTGCAGGTTCGGCACTCGCGGCGTGGAGGCGGACTGTCTCATGGCCTCGAGCCCGGTTGGAGTTTTTGGTTGGTTTAGGGTTTAGGGCTTAGGGTTGAGGGTTTAGGGTTTAGGGTTAGGGCTTATAGGGTGAACTGATGGAGTGCAGAAAGCACAAGGCTGACTCAGTCGATCCAGCGGGAGAACCCATTATCGCCTTACCGTTTCCCATCGCACTCGGAAGATATACACCGCCAGCATGACCCCTGAACCCTAAACCCGAAACCCTAAACCAAAACCCTAAACCCTAAACCCTAAACCCTAAACCCTAAACCCTAAACCCTGAACCCGAAACCCTGAACCCGAAACCCTGAACCCTGAAGTCGTAATCGACTTCCCCGCCCATATGGGCCCAGTGCGCTGTTACAATGATGCCTTTCTCGGGTCATGGACTACGGTGGGGTGTCATAACGGCATGACGCCTGTTGCCCGCGCGGCCGTCTCCAGTAGTGCCGAAGCTCGACCAAGCTAGGGTGAGGAGTTTTCGTAGACCACACGATGGTGAGAGCGAAGCGAAGTGCAGAGAGCTCAAAATTCGCCGGGCGCTGTTATGTCCTGGTCGCCGGGCTTAACCCCCAAACCTTAACAACCTCAAGCCTTAAGCCCTAAGCCCTAAATCCCAGACCCTAAGCCCTAAGCCCTAAGCCCTAAGCCCTAAGCCCTAAGCCCTAAGCCCTAAGCCCTAAGCCCTAAGCCCTAAGCCCTAAGCCCTAAGCCCTAAGCCCTAAGCCCTAAGCCCTAAGCCCTAAGCCCTAAGCCCTAAGCCCAAAACCTTAAACCCTAAACCCTAAACCCTAAACCCCCGTTTTTTGAAGCCCAGGTCTCGCACGTGGACCCACTGCTGCACCCGAACGAGACATACTGCTACCCAACGGACCCGCGCTTGCCGGAATAGGGTTCAGGGTTTAGGGTTTGGGGTTTAGGGTTTAGGGTTAGGGTTCAGGGTTAGGGTTCAGGGTTTAGGGTTTAGGGTTTCGGGTTTAGGGTTTAGGGTTTAGGGTTTAGGGTTTAGGGTTTAGGGTTTAGGGTTTAGGGTTTAGGGTTTAGGGCTCAGGGTTCAGGGTTCAGGGTTTAGGGTTTAGGGTTTAGGGTTTAGGGTTTAGGAGTTTAGGGTTCAGGAGTTTTCAACCAGAAAGCCCGGAAAGGCCCCATCTGACTGCGGAGACGACCTCCAAGCCCGGCTTGTCGGGAAGATCTAGAAAGCATACCCCCCCCCCCCCAAAACAAAAAGAACGGTTTAGGGTTTAGGTTGTAGGGTTTTAGGGTTTAGGGTTTAGGGTTCCCAAAAGCCAAAACCCTAAACCCCCCTTTACAGGGTTTCAGGGATTTCTGGCTTATGGGTTTCGCGGTTTTGGGATTTAGGGATTGGATGACCCAGTTGCAAAAGCCCCAAACCCGCACGGTCATGCTCAAATCCTAAGCCAGAAGCTCTTTTGTGATGTTCAAACCCTAAACCCCTAAACGCCCTGAACCCTAAACCGTAAGCAATCAAATCCCAAACGCCCTAAACCCTCAACCCCAAACCCTAAACCCTATCCTGTTCATGCCGTAAACCCTGACACGATGGTTTTTTTCCGCAAGCCGGGTCGGCGCGGGGCCCGAAACAGGAAAATCTTGGTGATCCCTTTGAATCGGCTGACTTGGCGGGCAAACCTTGCGGATTAAGAGCGTGGACAGAGGCAAGTCGTAAACCTTTTTAATCGCTCCTAAAGCCGAGACCCTGAACCCTAAACCTTGAACCCTGAACCCTGAGCCCTGAACCACCTAGAAGGAGACTAGGGAGCGACCCAGCCCTGAACGCTCTGAGAGAAGGCGTGGCAAGCCTGTCTGTAAAGGGGGGTAAGAGGCCCCTAAAGGTTTAGGGTTTCGTTGTGAGAGTTTTGGGGTTTAGGGTTTCGGGTTTCGGGTTTGGGGCTTGGGGTTCACTGAACCCTAAAACTGGTCCAGCTTCTAAGGGGGAGTTTCCTGGCCCATCAATATGGTCCCTTGCCTTCCCTCAAGGGCTTCCCCCCCCCCCCCCCCCCCAAGCCAGGGTGGGATCCCTTACGTCGGGGTTTCCCTGAATTCAGCTTGATGACCTCAAGGGTTCTGAAGTAGGGGCCCTAGAAGTTTTTGTAGGGGTTTAGGGTTTAGGGTTTATGAGGGTTCCCCGAGTAAGGGCCCACATTGCGGGACCATGAAACTGCCTCTCGCCGGCCGAAAGGGCGGGTAGCCCGGTTTGAGCCCGAAACCCTACAGCCCCAAACCCTAAACCCTAAACCCTAAACCCTAAACCCTAAACCCTAAACCCAACACCCCAACACCCCAACACCCCAACACCCCAACACCCCAAC